CCGGAATCACTGGGTTGCTGTGAGTTTTCCTCAAAGACTGTATGGCCATGTTCCAGAAGCATTCTCTCCCGACATTTCGCCCACATCTATGGCAGGCATCCTCAAAGATTGTGAGGTCTTGTCAAAGGCTTTCATGGCACTGCCAGGCAATCAAATGTTGAAACATTCACACCTAGCTCCAGCAGACAAGAGTCCTTTGTCCCACCCTGGTCATTCCACAGATATATAAATCCTTTTTCCTAGTTCCAACAGACCTCACTACCTCTGAGGATGCTTGCCATAGATGCAGATGAAACGTCAGGAGAAAATGCCTTTAGAAAATGGCCATATAGCCCAAAAAAACCTACAACAACCCATTGTGAGGTCTGTCGGAAATGTAAGTGTGATTGTGTTTGTGAAGGTGATTGTGTTTGTGATTGTGTTTGTATTTCTCTTGCAGCTGGTGGTCCCTGAATATTCCATCCATGGCCTTTTCTGCCTCATGTTTCTCTGTGCTGCCGAATGGGTGACCTTGGGGCTCAACATCCCATTGCTTTTCTACCATTTGTGGAGGTGAGGACAAAGCCTAATTTTACCACTTTATTACCATTCATAAAAGTTTTGTGCAATGTGAATTTAGTGTTGCAATCAAACAAGTTGTTTCAGAACCTAAATATGAGGACATAACAATTTTTATAAAGGAACCCCATGTTGAAAAATTAGGACTTTATTGCATAACTGAATATGTTTTTATGGATTTTACCTGCATTTGAGATTTTGCAATTGAGATTTTGATTCTGTTGTAATATTTGTATATGTGTAGATATTAAATTGCATTGAAATGCTTTTAATGTAAGCCGCTTTGAGTCACCCTGTGGAGATATAAATCTATATAAATACAAATGTAATGTTTGTTTGTGGGATTAACAGAACTCAAAAACCACTGGACGAATTGACACCAAATTTGGACACAAGACACCTAACAACCCAATGTATCTCCTTCACTCAAAAAATTGATTTTGGCCCTGGAACTCAACAAAAATGCTCCTGTTTTGTAGCAGGTTTCCTATGAGGCGGGTGAGATGGTAATCCTTTGTGATATTATACATTTTTCTCAGGAGGAGGCGGTGGTTTACAGTATCATAAGCCGCTGACAGGTCTATGAAGACAGCGCCTGTGATTTTGTGGTGACCCCCAAATAACATTATTTTCCTTGCTACTTCATAACTAATTTTTCTGCTGGTCCGAAATCTATATATATATAAATACTCTGTGCATAATTAGTACCTTAAAAACAAAAGAACCAATGAACGAAATCACACCAAATTTGGCAACAAAACGTCTCACAACACAAGGAGTGACCATCACTCAAAAAATTATGATTTTGTCATTTGGGAGTTGTAGTTTCTGGGATTTATAGTTCACGTACAATCAAAGAGCATTCTGAACTCCACCAATGATGGAATTGAAGCAAACTTGGCACACCGTTCTCCCATGACCAATAGAAAACACTGGAAGGGTTTGGTGGACAGTGTCTTTTGGTTTTGGAATTGTAGTTCACCTATATCCAGAGATCACTGTGGATTCAAACAATCATGGGTCTACAGGAACACTCAATATGCCCAAATGTGAACACTGGTAGAGTTTGGGGAAAGGAGAATCTTGACATTTGGGAGTTGTAGTTGCTGGGATTTATAGTTCACCTA